CTCACTATACAGTGTCGTGAAAAGGTTTTTGCCCCTTCCTGTTTTTTTTTTTGTATATTTGTCACACTTTAAAGATTCAGATCATCAAACAAATTTTAATATTACACATAGATAACCCGAGTAAATACAAAATGCAGTTTTGAAATAATGATTAATCATAGTTCAGAACCATAACCATATTAAGGGAAAAAAAGCGGTCCAAACCTGCCTGGCCCTACGTGAAAAAGTAATTGCCCCCTAAATCTAATAACTGGTTGTGCCACCCTTTGCAGCAACAACTGCAATCAAGCGTTTGCAATAACTGGCAATGAGTCTTTTACATCGCAAGTCATCCAGGTCCTGAAGCTGCAAATATTTTTTTGGCAAATGTGAGATGAGCCTTTGTGTTCTTTTTGGTCAGCAGTGGCTTTTGCCTTAGACCTCTCCCATGGATGCCGTTTTTGCCCAGTCTCTTTCTTATTGTTGAATCATGAACACTGACCTTAACTGAGGCAAGTGAGGCCTGCATGGCAACTATTTTGTTTATAATGTATTTTTCACTTTCTTTAGATCGCGGCATGATGTGTTGCTCTTTAAGCATGCTTCACTTTGTCAGACAGGTTCTATTTAAGTGATTTCTTGATTCAGCAGGTCTGGCAGTAATCAGGCCTGGGTGTGTCTAGTGAAATTTAACTCAGCTTTCTAAAATAATGTGGTTAATCACAGTTCTTTCATGATTTAACAGGATGGGGCAATTAATTTTTCACATAGGGCCAAGTAGGTTTGGAAGGCTTTTTTCCCTTAATAAATGAAATCATCATTAAAAAACTGCATTTTGTATTTACTTGCATTATCTTTGTGTAATATAAAAATTTGTTTGATGATCTGAATCTTTTAAGTGTGACAAATATGCAAAAAACTTTAAAAAAAAACAGCAAGGGGGCAAAAACCTTTTCACGGCACTGTATAAGGACAGTCTTCACAACACTCCACCAAAATAAAGGTTTGGTTTAACTTGAAGAAATTATGACAAATGTATTACTATTATTGTTATTAAGGAATACTATACAATCAAGAGATTTTCATCCATGTTTTAATGTATACAGTATATAAATACTGTTGTGCAGCACCTTATTTGACATTAAGTCTTAAGTCTAGTGTATTTATAAAATGTAACAAATGTGTGGAATGCATTTCCTCCCCAGTAATGGTATTAAATGAATATTGTGATAAATATCGATATCAAATGATGTAAAATATATTTGGCCCTATCACCAGCCCTACTATAGATCTGGATCAATTTCATTCTGATTCATATGCGCTGATGTCTGAATTTGTTTATCTCTTTTTTTAAATTCTTGTCTAAGGAAGGAGTTATTTAAGGATCTTATAAATGTGTTGTAAAATTACTGAAATAGAATAAAATTGTTCTTAATTTGCAAAAATGGTTTTTGAATTTTAATTGAAAACCAGTGAATTGAATAGAATCATTAATTGAAATGTAACCCTGGACTGGACCACAAAACCACAATACATTGTATGGGTCAAAATTATCGATTTTTCTTTTATGCCAAAATTCATTAGGATATTAAGTAAAGATCATGTTCCATTAAGATATTTTGTAAATATTCTACCGTATATATCAAAACGTAATTTTTGATTAGTAATATGCATGGCTAAGAACTTCATTTGAACAACTTTAAAAGCGATTTTCTCAATATTTAGATTTTTTTTGCGCCCCCAGATTCTAGATTTTCAAATAGTTGTATCTCAGCCAAATATTGTTTTATCCTAACAAACCATGGAGAGCTTATTTATTCAGCTTTCAGATGATTTATAAATCTCATTATGACTGGTTTTGTGGTCCAGGGTCACAAATAGTTATGTATTTATTAAAATGACTTTTGAATGCACAACCAGTGAATCAAATAGTTTTATACCCCAATTTTTTGGACTTGTACCATGGTAATACCATGGTATTCCTTGACAAACCTTGAAGTACCATGTAAATGACATGTGAGTTTGGCAGTCAGTGTTGTAGTACTCAACCGTACTCAAGTCCCAGTCCAAGAACCACATTTTCATGGTCATGGACTTGTCATGAACTCTAGCATTTGGACTTGATATTGACTTAGACTGCATGGATGTGTTTTGAGGTCACGCATATACATGATACAGAGAAGAAAATATTTGTCTTATTTCACTCTCACCTCTGCTTTTGCCTCACATTCCCATTAAATGACACCCCCACCCTCATCCCGATGCTCCGACAGTGTTTGCTATGCTTATGTGGGTCTGATACCTTTCTAGTGAACATTTCCATTGTTCTAAGTCATTTATTCCCTCAGTATGGTGCGGAATGCCAGAGGAGGGCACCCACTGGCGTGCCTGTTTAACATTAACATTTGAGGTTATTCTAGTGCTTCTTATTTCGGCATGCTTAAAGTTTTCCTTTTTTTTTATAAACTCTGAGGGGGGCTCTTAAGTCCGGATGTCACAGAGTCCTGCTGCTGTTAAAATAATAAATGTAAGAAAGACCACATACAACAAAGGAATAACTGCAATAGCCACATTTGTACATTCTTGACCATGCACGTATACGCAATAAGATGGTTTATTATAGGGTCGACTGGTGCTTGAATCTAACCACAGCTGGTGATAAAGCAAGCAAGAATAATCACTCAAGGTTTGTTGTCCATTTGAGCTTAAAGTTGACCTTCTAAAAATGTTATGTTACTAATAGCACCGTATTATGATAAAAGTACATTCCTGTGTATGAATATTATCCCTCCAGAGAGGATCGTGTTTGATGAGTAGACATACCTGGAAAGTAAATAATGAACAGCCATGATCAACTTTGGGGTAAAGGCTCAAATAGCAGATAACTGGTTTACTGGAAGATAGAGCAGCATTACATATCATGTCAGGAATTTACTTTAGTTTAGACCAAACCCCCTATTTGGCTACATGTTTTGGCTACATATCATTTATGATTAACTCGCTTCTAGCTCGGCTCTGGAGGTAAAGTGTTGATGTGGAAAGCTTATGACTTGCCCCCCTGTGCTGATTTAGAAAGGTGAACGTGCCTTTCTCATTTGGTCATTTAAGGGTAGAACACAACAAATAATGTATTTGGCATTGGACTTAGCAGTTGTTTAGGAAATGCTCTAAGACTTTGTTCACTCTAGTTTTTCAAATCGGATCTTTAGGACTGATTGTCCACACTGTCATTTTGCACATGATAAAATCAGATCTGTTTCTTTCATACAGTATGTGTACACTGCTTACCATAGTTCTGTCTAGGAGAGGTGTGTGATGTTGTTTTAATGATGTGTGAGATGTCATTCACATTGCAAAAACCAAACAAAACACGCCTTGAGAGTCCAAGCATTGACTGCAGAATGCAGTTAGAATGCCAACGAAAATAGTTTCAAATAAAATATGGAGTAGAGCCATTGCAACACAAAGATGTGTTTCGTTACTGAATGAATTTGCATTTTTGAACAAATCATTTTTGAATCAGTGAATGATTCAATTACCCATTAATGAAGATGATCACTTGCTTCGTTTCTAAATGAATCAGATGGTTTGAACGAATTGAATTGTAAACAATATGAAAAGCTTCAGGAAGTCCAGAACAGGTCAGCACAAAAACACACACATTTTGTCAAAGTATTCCAATCCCAAAGAATATTGAGATTTATTTATTTTTGGTCGAAGGAACGAGCCAAAAATTTGATCTTTATCTCTGCTCATGTCTATTGTAACATTGTGCCATGGTACTGAATAACATAAGCATTGTTGCATTGCTGCATTTTTGTGTTTTGCATAATCTTTCATATACAGTGTATTTGCATATTCTTTCATATACTGTGTATTTGCATATTCTTGCATGTACTACTTGAAACAGGATGCTTCATTCATTATTAACTACACAATGGATGTATTATAGTTTTTAGTGAAAAAGATAAAGCAAAAATGTGACCATTCACATTGAAACCTAACCAGATTTTAAACCAAAAATCAATTTGGTTGGGACAGGGTGTGTAAAAATCAGATTTCCTTTTTTTATGTTTTATTTTTATTTTTTTGCTGTTCACACTATAAACAACTTAACTGAATTAAGTTGGATATGCCAAACCAGATTTTTGTTCCCTATCTGAACTAAGCGTAATCGCACTACATTGCCTGGCAGTGGCTAGGTCATTTACAAAAGATGAATGCTTGTCCAAATATTGTCGTAGTTTGTTCAATTTCAATCTCTCAACAAAGGGAGAGCTATTAGTACAGGTCTATTCATATCTCGGTGATGTATGGTTGTGAAACAGAGGGATTTGATTGAGAATGATTGAGTGTTTTGTGTCTGTGTCACAGGTGGAAGAGGGCAGCAAGGCCGCAACCGCAAGACTGCAGGCTGGAGATGAACTCATCAACGTCAACAACATTTCTCTCAGCGGCTACAGACAAGAGGCCATCTGCCTAATCAAGGGCTCCCACAAGACTCTCAGCCTGGTGGTGAAAAGGTAATTTATATTCAACCTCACTATCATTGTTGGGCCCGATTTACACCTGAGATTAAGACCTGTCTATGGAATCTGATCAGTCAAGCTACTTTCACCTAATATGCATCACATATATATAGGTTTTGAGGGGAGGTTCCCTGATCATGCATCACTTTCTGCGTCAGCATGTTATTGCACGTAGATAAGCAAGCACAGAAAGTCGAAAGACTGTTGCTTCCAAATTTTAATCTCACTGCAGATGGGACATTTTTTATTCAAGCCCCTATACTAACTGAACTTTTTAAAGCCATTTGGCAAGGTTTAGAATCATAGTTTTAGCACAATGACTGATTGGCAGGTGATCAGGGTGGAATAGCATTTACACCACAATTGTGATGTGTTTACATGCATGCTACGACTGAACGAGGGCACAAGGAAAGAAAGCGGCATTCAATGCTGCCCACTTGTGATCAGGTTGTCAGAAACAGATGTTAATGCCAGGTGTAAACAGGATCTTTAACATTTCCTCCTCTCTGGGGTAAGATATACGTGGTTGCTTACTGTTGTTGTTTTTGTTTCATATGTTAAAAGATGCATTAAATATTTTGAGCAGGACTATTTGTGTTCCCATCAATATTGTATTGCTCTGTTAGGTAGAAACACCTATGAATAAATGTACGTCACAGGTCGGAAGTGAATGAGTTTAGCCGCTGGGGATTGGTGTTGTTTGCATCACTAGTTTATCTGATGCTGAGGGAGCCGTTGAATGCTTGACAGTCCAGTTCTGCCAGATCGCTGTTTTTCTGACAACTGACAAGCACACACTGTGAGATAGAGGAATAGAAAGCTAAAATAAAACTGAAGCAGTTTCAATTTTATTTTTCATTTCAGCTTTATACTGAAAGTATATGCTGGAGGCATTACTTGGGGATATATATATATATATATATACATATACATATATATATATATATATTACCTAGAATCTTAAATATGGTTCCCGACTTTTGGTTCCACTTCCCAACTAATAAAAACACTTTTTTTTCCAATTAATTTTGCTCTGTTGATGGATATTCTTACCTATTTGACATGGAATTTGTATGTTCTCATGAAAACTTAAATTGATAATCATTCCGTTTCTAAATACGGAACATGGTACAGTCTTTGGAAAGTGAAAGTGACAGGATTCAGTCATGTTTGTAGTCATTGAACATCAGACGTTATTTTAGCTCCAGTAAAATGCCATTTATTATTATTTTTCTAACTGAAACATCAAATAATGCTATATATACATATACATATATATATATATATATATATCCTAGAATCTTAAATATGGTTCCCGACTTTTGGTTCCACTTCCCAACTAATAAAAACACTTTTTTTTCCAATTAATTTTGTTCTGTTGGTGGATATTCTTACCTATTTGACATGGAATTTGTATGTTCTCATGAAAACTTAAATTGATAATCATTCCGTTTCTAAATACGGAACATGGTACAGTCTTTGGAAAGTGAAAGTGACAGGATTCAGTCATGTTTGTAGTCATTGAACATCAGACGTTATTTTAGCTCCAGTAAAATGCCATTTATTATTATTTTTCTAACTGAAACATCAAATAATGCATCTTCTGAACTCATCTAACCTTCCAGTTTCTACTGAAGTAGTCAAAAGCTAACATTAAAGTGAACGGCCACTATGTTTTCACTAACAACCCTATATGAAGTTTCTATCTGATGCAGTAGATTTGCATGCGGGCTGGAAGTGATGTTCTCAGCCAGTGGACACTGCGGGTACAGAGCGCGTGTCGACTCTGTGATGCAAATGAAGTGATTTGGTCCTGATTCACGTGGTCTGATTGTTATCAGCTTTTCTCACGACTTCTGCTCTTTTCCAACCCCAAACACAAAGGTGAGGTTTTCTCACCTTGAAAGCAGTGTATGCATATGTTTACAGCAACACTTACAACGTGATCTCTTGGTGAGAAATTAAATAAATGGATGTTCAACAGTTTTAGGTTTGATTTGATCTTGTCTATATAGGAAAATGTGCATTATGAAACACATAGTATTTTTCTGTTAAACATGCATTACATTGGCTCATTGCAGTTGAAGAGGAGCAGGCTGGTCAGTCCACGTCTTTGTGTGCCAAACACTGTCCTCTTTGTCTCTGCTTGGCCTATCTTGGAACACAAAGTGTGTTTGGTCGCATTACAGCATAACTGCTAAACAAACAATGTCATCCAGAGAGAAAAACTGCCTGTGTTTATCTACTGGACAGAGCCATTACTGCGGGTGATAGAAGGTGATTCGAATTCTATGTTAAGGTGACTTAAAAATCTATTGACGATTCACTGTACTTGATTTTTAATGCATGGGATGGAGCATAGTTATGAATTAAATCCACTATGAATTGAATCAAACCCACCTCTTGTCAATCATCAATGGCATTTGGCTTTGGCATGTGCGTTTTTACTGGAGGAATGTTTATTGTAAATGGCAAATGAAATGGGGGTTGTGTAATGTGACTTTATAACCAAGGACTGAGTCACGGTTTCGTATTTCCAACAGTGAAACGAATGTGCTCCGATTAGGCAATCAAGTGGTTGACATTATTGAACAGACACGTAACTACTCACAGCCTATTTAGTTGGATTAATGCATTCCAGTAGAGTAATAACAAAAGAATTCAGGAATGTTTCGTGATATGATGTTTGGATTTTTAAATCAAGAGAACCTAAGCCCTCAAGTGGACAAAAATAGTTTATTATTTGTAACTGTGCATACATTTTCCTGTATTTTCCTGTGCCTATAGCGGATAAATTCATTGGGAAGTGAGTCAGAATTAGCACACAGAGAGCAGATAACATATCATGCTGGACCTCAGTGGAAGGTGGGGCACGCGTGGGCAGTCTGCAGACTCGTGTGTTTAACAAGAGGTGTGAACCTCATTCAAATTGGCTTTGAATGGCTGTCATTATGAATAGCCTGATCTTTTAAACTCTTTTAAATGTTTGGGGTCCGAGAACCAAATAAATATGGTTATTTTGAACTTTTGAAAACATCAAAAAATCTGAAAAATGCATCATCGGTTTCCACAAAAAAATTTAAGTAGATCAGTTTTTGGGTACTAGACAAAATGCATTAAAACATTGATTTTTGGTTCTAGACAAGGCTTGATGTTTAACAGGTTTTGGCAAACAGACAGAACTCTGTTGATGGATTTTGAATATTAGACAAAATGCATATTTTCTGACAGGATCCAGTGCCTGAGTTTGGATCTAATATTCCTGATGTAGAGACTCAATCTAATATTTTTGGCATCGTTGGCACAATGTCGGCACAATCTAACTAACTGTATAATAAGAAATGCTTCTTGAGCACCTAATCAGCATATTAGAATGATTATGGATCATGTGACATCTTTGCCATCATAGGAATAAATTGCACTTTAAACTGTTATTTTAAGTTGTAATAATATTTTACAATATTACTGTTTTTATTGTATTTTTGATCAAATAAACACCGCTTTGGTGAGCATAAAAGACTTCTTTCAAAAACATTTTAAAAATCTTGCCGTCCCCCAAACATTTGAATGGTAGTGTATATAAAGTTTATAATTTTTGTGATTGGCCCAGTGAAAATGTTGGGAGGGCAAGTGCAAATCTGAACTACTGGGATCCACTTATGAAAATGTTTTAAATGAAAATTCTATTTTGTGTTGCCAGCATTACAGTTTGAGTGAAACGTTTTCTTTAAATGTAAAGCATCAAAAATATCTATAAAATAAATCAATATTTGAATCCCAGATTCGCAAAGTGGTCTTAGGCTTTTGAACCCCACTGTATAACATACAGTTAACAAATAAAATGCTGTTACATCACTCCACCCTCATGTTGCTTTAAAAACCTGTTGAAGCATGTGTCATTGTCATAATTCTTTATAATTGCAAGACAAATTTGTCAGATATTTTGTCAGCCAGAGGCAGATCACTGGGTTGTGACCAAAATGACCCTGAGCACGGCATACCACGTGCCCCAACCTGAGCAGAGGGCGATGTGTGGCTTTTAACAGTGTACTTTTTGAAAGAGAATGTATGTCTGAATAAGGCCTAAGCAAAATAAGTGTTTGACTATGAAATGAGGAAATAGGAAGTTGTTGCATATGTAGGCGGTGCCTGTTTTGCATATTCTGACTTCATTTGAAACTATGAGGTCATGGTATGAGCTGGAGAGATTGTTTAGTTTGGCATGACCAAGGCATTGGACAAATAGAGAACACAGCATTTATGCTGGATCAAGGCCATCTGTATGCCTGGATAGTACATCGTTCAGTGTCATAAGTTTAAAATCCATATTAAGAAATTTGTTATAATTTAAATTAAAGGTGCCCTCGGTAGTTTTTCCTTACTAAAATATTTTATACAAAGAAATGAAAATGTTTAAAAGGGATCACATGATATTAAGACTCATACAGTGTTATTTTAGTATAATGTATGTAGTATTATAATATTTATTCATATTTTAAATGAACTTTTATTTTTATATCTTCAGTTTTCATTTTAGTTTGGTTTAGTATTTTTGTCATTTGCTTTTATGAGTTTTTGTTTTTTAATATTAAACTTTATTTTATTTTTGATATTTAGTTTTAGTAATTTTAGTATGCTTCCACTTAAACTTATTTTATTTTAGTTAGTTCCCAAGGCTACATTTCAAATTTTTCATTTAATATTTTATTTTATTTTAGCTTTAGCTTTATGTAAATGAGCAAAAATGATTCCTATCATCAGTTTTCATTTTAGTTAACAGTGCTGTCATATTAGTAGCCTAATAAAAGCTTTTCCCCCCCCCGCCCCTTTTTTTTTAGATCATGTGAGATCACATGACCAGCCCAGTGCCATTCACTTTTCACTGTTCCCATGTATTAATGTAAACGTTTGCTTTGGTAATGAATCATGGCTAACTGTGAATTTCTACAAAGCTATTGGTAACTGAAAACATTTTTTAATTGGTTTTGCATGATACTGCTCGACACACCAAAGTACTAAGTTCACCTTTAATTAGTCATACTTTTGTGTTAATGTAACCACTTATTTACGCAATAAAATATTGAGTAATACTGATGAACTATATTAACTGGTTTTTACACATTCCGATTGTATATACGATGATTGTTCACTATAGTAATACAAGTGTTATATGTCACACAGTGATTAATTAGATTACCTAACCTAAATGAACATGATTACTAAACTCTTAGGTGAATGAAATACATCCTATGACACACTAAATATTGTCGCTCATGCATGATGCACAAGTGAGTGTTTCTGTGAATGCCAATGTGCCCAGATGCCCCACTGAGTAGGTAATCTAACTGCAGAGATATTGGGATTATGGTCAGTGTGATTAAAATGGGATTTGGAGTCTGTTGCTTGTGGATTAGATAACTCATCCACACTTTTAAGACTGTCCTGTCTGGTGCTACAATAGGAGCAATATGATTCTATAGTACTGTTACATAAAAAGGGTGGAAAGTGTAATGCAAAATCTGTCTTCAGTCAACAAACACCCAGTTTCTAGATTATTTGGGCTTTTCAAAGTTTTATTTTGGTTTCAAAAATATTCAGCTTTCTCTATATAAACACACAATCTGTTGTTCCTTCAAGAAACAAAGGCTATTCTATGAGTGTATGTACTGATGTTTTAAACAAAAGCAGCGAACTGGATTTAACCCAGACAGAGATGGATGCGGATGGTTCAGATACACACGAAGACAAATGCATTAGAGTCTCTAGTTTGAGAAACCAACACCTCACAGGTTCTCAGCTGGCAGCTTCATTGAAAAGTACATGCCAAGTAGCAGTTTCATCTGGGATTAAACCTTTTGTGCTGAGTTTCAAAGAAAAAGCCACATCTGGAACTGGTGAATAAGAAGAAGCGATTCAAAGGGGCAAAATAACATTTTTAGCTATAAATTATTAGAAAAGAGAGCGTCAGAGATTGCTAGTCTGTTAGAAGAGCCCTACAAACCAATAATACAGATGTGCTACAAAAAGCATCAGATAAACTTAAAGGGTTAGTTCACCCAAAAAATTCTGTCATTAATTACTCAACCTCGTGTTTTTCCAAACCCGTAAGACCTTCGTTCATCTTCGGAACACAATTTAAGATATTTTTGATTAAATCTGAGGGCTCACTGACCCTCCCATAGAAAGCAAGGTAACTACCACGTTCAGGGTCCAGAAAAGTACCAAGATGATCGACAAAGTAGTCCGTGTGACATCAGTGGTTCATCGCGCGTTCACGACAGTATGACCCAGATCCGGCGTAATGACGTCAGTGACGCAGTAGAGACGAAAATGTGGAATAAAGTCGTTATTTTTGTTTTCTTTGTGCAAAAACGTATTCTCGTAGTTTCGTAACTTTACAGTTGAACCACTGATGTCACACGGACTTCTTTGTCGATCATCTTGGTACTTTTCTGGACCTTGAACGTGGTAGTTACCTTGCTGTCTATGGGAGGGTCAGAAAGCACTCATATTTCATCAAAAATATCTTAAATTGTGTTCCGAAGATGAACAAAGGTCTTACGGGTTTCGAACAACACGAGGGTGAGTAATTAATGACAGAATTTTCATTTTTGGGTGAACTAACCCTTTAAGATGAGCTGATTGAATGCATGAAATGCATGGTTTTGTTCCAATATTTCACAAGGCTGAGAACCATTGTTCTATTTAGTAATGTAAATACTGATTGTTTTGCTCAAGGAAAGAGTAAGCGATTCTCGAAAGTATTAATGAAAATAACATTGTTGTCACTAGTGAAAATGTCTGAAGTGACTTTTTTGCGCATGTTCCGCATGAATATTGTAGTTGTTGAATTTAGAAACAAACAGTGACTTCACATACAGTCCTTGAAACAGACGAGAGGAGGCAGTCATGTGACAGAGGTGTGTCTGGAGTTACTCAGTTGTGACTGATTCAGAGAAATCTTTTTGTGAGCTGTTATTGTTTTAGGAACGTCTGCTAACTGGCTTGTCTTGAAATGACCTTGAATTCCCCAGTGAAACTACCAAAGAGAATGTGTATTGTGTCTGTGATTCAGATTCGGTCATTCTCATAAATTATCTTCTCACATGTGTATTCTGTGAAGTTTTGTTGATTGTTCATTTACTATTCTCAGAAACTTTGATTGGAAAAAGACCTCAGGAGAGCAAGTTTAATTAATCATAGTTTATTGACAAAAACAAAGGTTTTTTTTTTTTGTTGTTGTTGCTGTTTCCGATTGTGACGTGTTTGAATGCCCTGTTGACATTACTGACCCAAGAGACCTTTTGTTATAAACAGATCATCCAGAAGCCAGTCCTTCTTCTGTAGCCAGCTTCTTACATAGAATGACTACTGCCACCTAGTGATGTAGAGCCATAACACATGATATGTGTATGATAGCGCAAATGGAATTATCTAGCAAAATAAATGCTCAAAACAGTAGAATCACATTGTATGGAAAAACCTGAGTGTCATTTGTTTAATAATTCCTTTTGTCTTATATGGGGGAAATTAAAAACCTGCAGTGCCTCTAAAGTGAATAAAAAAAGGATGATGCAAAGATTCAAACATAAATCAAAAATTAGTTTTTAGCGAACCTATCCTTTTAAATAAATAAGTACACACTTTTAACTGAGAAGTGAATCTCTGTATGTGGGTACAATGACATTTTTGTAGGTTGTTTTTCTTGAAAAATACTTTTATTTAGCAAAGACACAAATTGATCAAAAGTGACAGTAAAGACATTTATACTGTTACAAAATTTGTTTTTTGTTTTTTTCAAATAAATGCTGCCCTTTTGAACTTCATTCATATTCATTATTTCTATCCTATACATTAAAAAATCGAGAACTGTTTATAATAATATTTCACAGTATTGTTGTTTTACTTTATTATTGATCAAATAAAAGCAGCCTTAGTGAGCACAACATAAAACGTATATTTATAGTTATTTTATGTATTATATAAATATTCTATTTAATATATTTGGCTGGTGAACAATGTTGTACCCTGGTATTGTAGATAGTAGAATAATTGAATAATCCTGGAGTGACCGAACCTAAGAAAAATTGCTCTTTTCATTCCTTGAATTTTTGGGAATGTGTTGACATTTGTGTTACACTTCCTGTTAGCATTCTGTTAAAGGAAGAAAAGAATCCATATCCCTCTTGCAATAGACCAACTATCAGTAATGAAGGATTTTCCCAGGATGCAGCTGGAATGGGTTTCTTTCTTCTATTGGTTTAAATACAGACTTTGGTTGCAGAATTGTTCCAAAAGCCTGCTTAAAATAGGACATTAACATTTTTCCTCCCTCTTTTAGTAATTACTCAGCTATAAAACTGCATCTAAATGACTAAATATTTCAGCTACAGGGTGTAGTTTAAATGTTAAAGTGATGCATTGGGTAATAGACCCTTCTAAGACAATTGCCATGCCAAAATTTATGGCAGCACTGTGTACCCTATGCTTCTGCCCAATAGCTTAAAATAGGTGAGTGGCTATAGTGACAAGAGCTGTGTCACTCTGAGCTTCAGAATCCAATTATAACTAGTAAATCTCTCCTATGGCATAATTGGCATTAACTGAGAGAGGATGACTTGAACTTGATTACCGCAGCAGGGGTGAAGTCAAGTCATCTGCATGTGATTTTATAGAGGTGCTCAGTGATCCAATAAAATTACTTTCTTGTTTTCTTAATTTCACACTGTAACTTTTGAATTAGCGCTACCTAAATGCCAAAGTGGTGTTTAATTTGCAATTTCACATGGTGCTAATCCTTGAACCACCCTGTTTTAAAATGATTTGTGGAACGGTCCATTGGCAAGGTGAGTTGACACCCGTGGGTTACACACATTTCATTAGCATTAGAGGAAGAGCCGCTGTTTTCACAAGTATTTTAGGAGAAAAAATAATCAAATACGGATAACCACAGTCGCACTAATGGTAGTTGCACATCATGACTGAATCAAACCAGATGTTGTAGTGGGCTCAGACTTTTTGTACAGGTGTTATTGAGGTATGTAAATTTTGAAATGTGAATATGTTGGCAAACCTTTCCAGTTTTGTAGTGTCTGGATTTCATGACTTAGAAGTACAATATTTTCCTACTTTATTGCACTTCAGTCAAGAGCGAAACTAATATTTCAGAAACCTGATTGTGTGTTTGTTTTTTTTCAGTGCTTTTATTTGAAATAAAAAAAAAGCCTTTTGTGGACATCAGGTCTTATTTTAACAGCAGGTGGCTTGGTTTTACAGGAAGCAGCATCAAACAATCATTCGGACAAGCTCTTACAGTGCTATGGTGATGAGATCCCTCTGAAGCCGTTCTTTTATTTTAGTTGCTATGACACCTGTTACATCAGCAGCCTGTGAAAGTGAAAGGTACATGGGAAAGATGGTGCTGTGGGATTTGTCTGCCTGAAACTGCCTCATTCGGAAGGGGAAACCAGAAATGTTTTTAACACTGTTAGTGTTAGTTTTGGTTATTATGATTCACTTAATCATTGTAATTCTTTTTCAAACAATTCTGGGTTAGTTGATCCATTCATCAAATTCATAATGTCATAAGTATTCTTATTTGATAATTATTTCATAATAATTTATGATGCATAATGAAATCAAAATTGACATGGATGCCACTTTTTCAGACCTTTTAAGTCTGATGATTAAAGTGTAATAATATCAGGGCTAATCAAAATGTAAACTAATTAAAAAATTTATTGGAAAAAATATTATTTTTGTATTTTTAGTTTATTAAAAAAATACACAGCAAAAAATGTAATGTAAATTCTTGAGTGTTTCTTAATTAATTGCACATGTACACTGAAAAAAATTGCCCTAAGGGCAAGTTATTTATTTTTCATTGGCTCAATTTAAAAAATATAGATGTGAATCATTACCCTAAATTTTTTTAATTGGATGAATGAAACATTTTTTTCAGTGTACAAGGAGTATGAATCAGGTAGTTCTCGTATGTCTTCTCAATTTGCAACACAGATTTATGAACTAGCTGTGATATTTGTCTTTATGATGATCAGGTCTTTAATGAAGACAAAATGAAGTTTTAATGAAGTTTTTTTTATGCTCAAGAGGAGCACTTTTTTATTGCAAAGGAATTGGAACATACAAACTCTACATGTAACTATAAAACGTTAAATTAGGTAGTAATTACAAAAGAGTAATTAATAACAGATCAAAAGGAAGAGTAAAAGGAAGAAACGTTAAACTAAGAGACAAAAAAGAAGAAAGAGAGTTTGTGATGTCCTTTGTGTGTTTTCTGAAAGAAACCAGGCAAAGTATTCTTCCAAAATGAGGTCGAACTTTGTATTTTCTTCTATGAATGTAATGCAAGCTGTTTATTTAATCTCAGTTATTTATCAGATCACTGCAAGCTAATCCCTGTTCTCAGTCTAGGTCTGTGATCAGATGTTGCTCTACAGGTCATATTAAGTCTTTTGGAACGTAAAACTTTGCACAGAAGGGTTCAGTCTCCTGTGCTTACCGTTTCAAGAAATTTTGGCATGGAGCAATGATTTTAGAGTCCTTTGGTCACCTTCTAAGTCTGATTACTGTGCACTTTTCTTGCTTCTTACACTGTTAGCTGAGGTTAGACCAAGGGCATCCTTAATCACATCAACATGCAGGAAACCCGGAGTAAGCAAACCATCAATTTATTTTTTGTTCAGGCCTAATAGTAACACATAATATGTGTAAGTTTACGAAATGATTTATGCTGATATATCTTAGTACTGTACACCCAAACAAAAGAGACGCAGATGTGAACCCAGCAGAGGACTAGACGGCTATCGGTTCTTTGGCTGGTATGACATGCAGCTCAGGAATGTGCCTGTCATTACAGGCTCCTCACGGTTGGCCTCTCCTGGCCCTGTATTAGCCGTCTGATTGAGATGCGTTCTGAAGAAGGCCTTTGTGCAGACACTCCACGGCAGGTTAAATAACTGACTCCAATGTGGCCAAAACTCTAGCGGTGTCCCCTTGTGTCCAATATTACATTGAACAAAGTGTGGTTTCCATTAGATCAAAGCCAGATGGATCAGATAAGATCTTGTTGGACATCTCTCCTTAAACACTTATTCTTGTCTCCTTGATAAACATCAGCTTTGAATGGCTCTTCTCTCTAAAATAAGAGCTTTACAAATCTTTACAAGTTTACAAATCTTTTTGCCTGCTTTACCTTTTTGAGGCAGTGAGAAAAATGCAATGTTTATGGGAGCGTTAATGCCTAGGAATGGCCTCATGTCTGGAATGCGCGGATGAGAAGTCGTCTCACAATAGATCATTGTGAAAGATTTCGTAAAAGCCCGCCCATCAGGCATAGGCCAAAGCAATTCTTCTGTAATCTTCTTGCCTGTCACCAGACCACTTGTTTTGATGCCAAGAAAAGTTTTAATCAAGCTCGAAACTTTGTAGGTCAAGCTCCGATCACAGTCAAGCTTCACTCTTTAGAGATCTGTTTTACAAAGCTAACAGGTTGATTATTTGAGATCTCTAGCCTTGTTTTAACCAGATGGCTTTTGTCAGACCTGGAGTGATCTACTGGTCACATGATCGGTTTCGGGGGTTGGGAGGGTTAGGGTTTGAGGTCAGCGGTCATGGTGATGTCTAGTGCCGTCAGTGAGTGGGGTGCCTCAATAGTAAAACTCTAGTGTTGTGTAGTGCAGAGCCACTACTGAATATTCATTGTTGGATTGATCAGTTTATGGCAATGAATCCATTTATATTTTGAAATAAATCCACTTTTCTTTTAAAATGTAGTTCAATTATTATCTCTTTCTGTGGTTTCACCCGCTTGACAAACCAGTGCACTTAAGACTCTGCAAAAATCAACCTGTTGCCATAGTAATAGAAGAAACAGAGAACCGCTACACAAGAGGGGTTCAGCAAGAACATTTGGCCCTTTTCGACTGTGCATTAGCATACCATCCCTGAGCCAATAGGGAGACAGAAGCTGCTAGATTGCTTCAAGGAGACTGGCTATGACAACAGCCCCCTTCTCATTCTCTCCCCCCTTCCTTCCCGGGGTAAAATCACCATAATCCCTGTAGAGATCTGCCCTGACTGCAACAGTCACACAAGCACTGGAAGTAGATATTAAGAGTGTATGTGCTAAGGCTCGTATGATCAGATCTCTACATGGGGTTTGTCAAGGCTACCTTTTTCTGTAGTCTTGCATATGGAAGAAGTGGATGGTTGAAAAGACTCGCACTGCGGTCCGGGACCGGCCGTCTATGGAGGGCCCTTTGTCCTGGCCTGTCTTTGATGTGAATGTGGAATGCGCTGCCTGGGGAGTCCACTGGAGCAAACCCGGCTCTCAGTACCATTTCATCCATCAAAGCGTCTCAGGTCTGCTCATTTAGGGACCTGTTTGGCAAACTTACTTGCTTGAGGGATTGTTTGGTGAGTTTAGAAGTTTACATTTAGCTGTCTGTTTTTACGTCTGCCGTCTTTGTCTCACACCTGTTGTTGTTCCTTTGCTTTTATCTTGGCATCTGTTTAGTCTCGTTTTATTTTACTGTTTGTGAAATCTAAGTTTTGGTGCAGCTTGTCCCTCAGACGACTTTGTAAACGAGTAAATGGTGTTAAAACTTGACCTCATGAAACCTGTTGCATTTATCTTGGCAAACCAAAAAGCAACATTTGATGGGTTTCAAACACTGCATCAGATCCTAACCATATATTAGTAAAACACTAAAATTTTTCCCTTTCAAAAGCTTGCTGATCTTTCACGTAGGTGTCTTTTGAACACTTTTTTTCTTGTTGGTTCGTCCTGTGAATAAGATTTGGATGTTAACTCTTTACCCAAGCTGAATGATTTGCATCAGGCTTTGGATTGGTTGTTGTCTTTTCAGAAGTGATTTGTTTGTTTTTGAACATGCCTTGTTCTGAAAACGTCGGTGGGGGACTTTCCCCTCCGAACCCCCCTCCTTGGCCTCCATTCCGCCTGGGCGCCACTGATTCGGACCACTGGCATATCTGCGCTAGACCAGCTGTAGCCCTGACAATACGTCTAATAAAGAGAATGTCATTAGCATCTGAATAGCTAGCCCCATGTGTGGCGAGCACATACACACTTGAAACTTTTACACAAGAAAAGAGAGCAGCATTGAGCAAAAGCAGAGGGTGTCTTTTGGGCCACTGTCTATAATTTGCCGTTTAATCTGTTCCGCCATCTTTTAAACCTGTGACAGGGATGAACATGGACATCTTGTTTTAGACAACATCAGCTTAGGTAGCCAAAGCTGGTTTAAGCAAATGTTTTGGGGTCAAGGATATTTGGGTTAGCATGGCTGTTTTTATTTTCCTTGTATTTCGAAGAATGTCTCTTACTGTTTACTGGCTAGAGGGTGACTGGCACTTGACCTCATGGTCTAATGGAGTAGCACTGCATGTCTTTGATTGACTGTTGTTCTAACCCCTCCGGTCTCATGGAGAGTTGCACAAGCTTGGGTTTTAGACTGTTGGAAATTCAAGGAGATGGATTTCTGTTTTTACAATCCTATCACTAAACCAAACGACTGCATTTCAGAAATGACAGGAATGTTTTGTCTCTCAAAACTTAAAGGTCACAGGTCAGGTGTGGGTGGACTCTTTAGTTTGGGGAGATGTTGGGCAACATTCTGAGGAATGTTTCATGCTAAACATATGTAAAAGAAGAGGCATGCAGCCATCAAACATTGCATGCACAGATCCTGGAAAGAGGTTGTAATATTTAACAAATTACTTGTCATCTTTTTCTCAGTTTTACTTTTATTTTATTTTATGGCATACATTTTCACATGGAATGGTAGTGTTAAACCTTAACCACTAGATGTCTCCCAATGTCCACTATTCACACTATGCGATTGTTTGTAAGTTGCAGATCTCTGGTCAGTAGTATCTTACAGTATTTGCACCTTAAGAGGAAGACTAAAGGGAGACTAATTGGTTTTTTTTTTGTCCTTTTTAAACCCTCTCTCAGTGCTGGTGCTGGCGTTTTCCTGAATGGCCTTATGGCTAAAGTTTTTGCATGCATGTGCTTCTCAACTCTGTCTGCAACAATTGGGCATGGGCATTAAAAACACAGGTTTCATTTATGTGGACTGTCTGTGTTTTTACAGTGTATTTTTCATACAGTATAACATCTTAAATATAACATTTTGTGGTCGTTTTGTCTGAATTGGTTATGTTTTTTATGCAAGGCTATATTTGTGTTTGTGTTCTTGCGTATAATGCTTGACTAATTACAGCCAGTGTTGTGGCCCATGCTAGTATGTCTGTATTTTCCCATCACAGAGATGGCTTTTCATGTCTCCATTTGGAATTCAGCACTAGAGTCCCTGTCAAATTTTACTGAACTCAAGAGATTCCGACTATATGTGTCCCTCCCACTTTTAACCCCCTTCAGGAAGATGAAAATGGTGGATATTGTAGCACAGAAAATGCCATCAGAGAGCGACGTGCATATGGCCCGGAGCTTTCTCACGAAGATTTTACGAAGTTCCATGAGGTATGGTATCAATGTATCCACAAGAAACCCCACTTCCTTTCCTGTACCACCCAGCCTAGTCATAATGATCTACAATCATATTCCCTCCATGGCCTTGTGATATCATCCATCAGAATTTCTAATTTCCATCCAATAGTTTTCCACCTTGCATATGCTCCACATTCCTTATTCAGGGTTCCCACGATCATGAATAACCTGGAAATATTAGGGAATTTATAATTGTTTTAAAATTTCCAGGCCTTATTTTTCAAATCCAAAATGAATGGCAAAAATAATAGAAATTTCTCTAAAATATTTTTTTTATATAAATTACTCTTTATGAGTGCAATCTCAAAATTCTTTTTAAAAATTCTTATCCAATTTGAAAATTTATTGGAAGCTGTGGGAACCCTGTTCATTAGTTCTTGCAGTATTGTTTTAAGTATGGATTTCATGAGCATCGGTTCCAAATTTTGTTGTTTTTGGTAGTCTAAGATTTTGCAAAAATTTGGAAATGTCTATAGAAAAAATCTATGCACGGACTGAATTATTGATAATCTCATAAGGACAATGTATTCGACTTCTTATAAGAGGCTCTGTTTAGTTGTTGTGGCAGTTTCAGTAACAATTATATATTTATGTCTATTTCACTTCATGCATCCCAGAAAGAACCGATTTAAAGGGTATGTTGCTGTGGTATGAGTGTTGAGAGAGTGGGCTTGTGGTTACGGATATTTAATGGTTTTTGTAGGTGTTTGTCAGGTTTTGTGGTTGACAGTTGGAAAAACTTTGTGTTGATGGTGAATGACTGCAACATCGGCATGCTCACAGGCTACTTCTCTGTCTCTTGGCATGATCATTACACTACTTCCATAATCATCTATCATGTTTTGACACTTTACTGTCCTTCAGAATAGTTGTAGTGCTGCTTGGTGATCTGTGTTTGCCATTCGTTTTGCAGCTGTTCACAAAGCAACATTTTATTGCCTTGCTTTCTAATCTTTCCTCCTCTGCTCTACATCTTTCTCCATCCTTCTCTCGTTCCCGTTTGCTGCCCACAGGAGAAATGAACCCATGAGTAGACCTCACTCCTGGCATGCGACCAAGTTCAACGAGAGCCACTCAGAGGCCAAAAACCAGTCCACACCCTCACCAGTCTGGCAAACAAGATATGATGCAAGGTAATTGGAGAGACAGAAAATAATTACGTTCTGTTTATATTGCTTCTTTCAGTAAAGATTTCAGAATGAAGACCTCTATTTTTCTTTTACAAATATGCATTGAATGGCAGAAACTTTTGATATGGCTTACTGCAGTTGCATTTTCAAGTATATACAGCCTAAACACTTTTTACATGTGTTTGTTTTTCATAGTTCATTCTCTTCTGAACTCTCAACTGGCTGGGAGCAAACAAATCTACAGAGAGTATCCGACCAGTTCAGCTCTTTGGGGAGTATGGACAGCATAGAGCATAGCGCGCATCCCTATCCACCTGGTCGTCTTTCCCCAGGCAAGTCGAACAATAACAGCATTGAACATTTGGGCAGTGGTAAACGAGACTCTGCTTACAGCTCCTTTTCTACAAGCTCAGGAACCCCAGATTACACACTGTCCAAAAGTAACGCTGCATCCACTGAGAACATGCTGTACAAAATTAATCAGTGGGACTCAAGTGGCAGGCACAGCAATGGCAGACATAGCCAAAGCCTAAGCGAAGCAGTACGACAAGAGGAGAGGCTTGGATACTTGCAGCATCTCTCAAGTTCAGGTAGCCATGAGATCCCAAAAGCCGAAGAACAACCAGGCACTCGGCAATCAATCTCTGGAAGAGTTAGTATTGGACCTGTCTGGCATGTTCCAGATATGAAGAAAAACATGGTATCCTCCACCCCACCTCCTACTCCACCGACACGCAGTGATAGTTTTGCAGCTACCAAGGTTCATGAGAAGGGTCTGATCACAGGCACCTCTGAAGGCCTTGGTGTTCACGCCCAGTTAAAGCCTCAGGTAAAAGCATTGCAAAAGACAGGAGAAACCCATGAAAGCACACAAAGGTCTCACCAAGTCAACGAGACTGGTCTTGAGGGTCGACGCGATTATAACCTGCCATCCAAAAATGATTCCTCAAATCCCTACATTTCATCCGATGCCCATCATCAATATCCACCCCGTATGTCATCAGACAAGACATACTCCCTATCAACGACAGACATTAGAGATAGACATCAGTCCTATGCCCATGTACCATACCATCCACAGCAATACAGCGACGAGGGCACTTTTCACGCTCAAACTAGGACAATACCAGCACTGAAACCTCCATTCAGTGGCTACTTCAGCAGTATGCAGGAGCTGCCCACAAACAACCACATGCAACTCAATAGCCAGAATCAAACTAGAAGGCCAGCTGCATCAATGTCCGGTCATGTTGGAGTTACCTCTCATCATATCGCTCAGGGAATGACCCAGGCATCTTTAGTGAGAGTTGATGACTCTAAAGCTTCTTCAGTCTCAGAAATGTCACACAGTGGACGGGACAGGATGTCCATAGGTTCTCAAGGAGGAGCAAAAGACCGCTATTTCCCACCTCAGTCACAGCACCATGATACAGAGCATAAAGACAACAATGCCCCCTTCAAACAAAGTGACAACCACCATCGCATTTTCTCTGCACCAAGTAATCCCTTGAATGTACCGGAGTTAACAAAACCTTCTGAATTGAGGGGGAGCCAAAAGCAACACCAAGTGTCTAGCTCAGATGAGCATTCTGGTAGTTATCCCTCAAGTAAGCAACCCGAGCACATGAGAAGTGCTGGTCATCTCCATCTTAAAGAATACTCACAACAACCCTTTCCAACTAAAGGCGAGTCAAAGATATGTCCCCAGAAAACACCAATGCTGTATTCTCTGGCCCAAGAGCACAATGACGTGGAGGACTGTCAAGATGAGATCAACAGCGGAAGTGCACAACAGGAAGCCCTTGACAGTCAGAGTGGCAAACAGGCACGACGAAGTGACCGATTTGCCACCACCTTGCGCAATGAGATCCAGATGAGGAGGGCCCAGCTTCAAAAGAGTCGAAGCGCAGCCACTTTAGAAAGTCCGGTTGAAGCTGTAGAAGAGCCTGCAGTCTGGAAGACCACTGGGACTTCTTCTTCCTCCTCAGATGGCTGCTTTTCCAGCTCTTATAAAGACCATCTGAAAGAGGCCCAAGCCAGAGTCCTCCAGGCTACATCCTTTAGGAGGAAAGACCTAGAGCCAGTCTTGTTTGAGCATCCAGGTTCTGAGGGTCCCACTCGGAAAGACACACCTCCGCTTCCAGGTGTCTCCGAGGTCCCACCTACCAAACCCACCTCAGGGAGTAATCAGGTGCTTCGCATTGGTAGCCGCAAGCGGTTTTCTGCAGAGAAGAAAGTTCGGTCTTTTTCTGAGCCAGATAAAATTCATGAAGTAGGAGATAATGAGCGCTCCAGTGTGCCTGATAATGCTGCACCCTTAGAAAATCGGCACAGATTATTTGAGGCAGTGGGGAAACCAGCTTTCCCTAAGCCTATGCAAAAGCAAAACCTGCAGATATCTGAAGACACCAGACTATCCAAGTCTGGAGGCATGCACTATTCTGCAAAGAATGACACAGCAGGGCGGAGTAACAGTGAAAGCTCAACCCCCACTGAACACCACCTTAATGAAGGTCAGGATGGCCCTCATTCAGTGAACCGACAAGCCATGCTAGAACAACAGCGACTTGGCAGCTTTGCGGAGTATGAGGCCAAATGGAACAACCAGAGGAAAACGGCCGAACCAAGGGTATCTGGACGATACCACTCCGCTGATAACATCCTTGATTCAGGAAATGAGAGACGGAGTAAGCCCACCTGTGTGCATGAAAGATCTAGATCCTCCCCTTCTGCTGACTTCTATGGACGGGTTGGTTATTTCATATTTAATGAAGTCTCTCAGTTATCAGTGATTTAATTCTGGTGTTATATCTGTTCAAATGTTGTAAACTGTTTACTAAACACGAGTCAGAGTTTGTTTTTATTTAGAAAGCATCATAAATCAAAAGTGACTTGAGTCTCACATATAGCCCCAGTGAATAGCAATATAAAAGACGGAACTTAGTCAAACATTAAGCTAAAAGTCACACCCTCAGACCAGGAAAGTTGCAAGTAAGATCACACAATCATGTCAACCAACTAAGACCATAATTACAAAAGACAATAGTCTTAAAATAGCCAAAGTTAACAGCAGTTGAGATATATTAATACCTGAACGAGGAGGTTAAGTTTTATGTGTATTATATTCCTCCCAGAAACTTCCAGTTCAAGAAAAGAAGTCAGCTGACTATTCCAAGCCTGAGAAAAATCTCTGCGAACAGGATAAGAATAGTACAAGGTGGGTGCTGTTTTGTTATTTTTCCATTGCCTTGCAAGTTGTGTTAAAGAGTAAAAAGATAATACATCATTTTAATGTGCTTATTAAATATCACTTTTAACATACTTTTTTGTCATGATTATCATGATACTTCTGGGCTTGTTTGAAACTAAGCCAAACAACTCTTCCTTGCTGAGACTGTGTCAGTGTGTCGGTGAAACTATTCCTGTGCTAATGGCTCTGATCTTGACCTTGTTGCATACAGAAATCCACAGTTGGGCCATCAGTCAGCTCCCGTTGGGTCAAAGACAAACAGTAGACTCTTTATGGTCCTTGCAGCTTTGGGATTTAGCCCAGCTGTGACAGCACTGCTATCCTCACTGACTGGGCTTTGTTACAACGAGATGGGTTTGAGGTGTAGGCATGTGAGTGTGACATAGGAAGTGTCCAATAAGTCCATTCATAATAAGGCCAAAGAGTAAAATAGCAGCCTAAATTAAATTTTTGCTCTTCCTGCTTCTTTAAAGAGCTTTTTAAAGATATTTTGCCTCATTTCAGTATTTTAAGATTTAATTCAAGTTTTACTCTACATAATTATGTAATCTAGTAGGTATTGCATTTTATCCTGAAAGAAGCATGAATGGTAGCCCTGTACTCTGCTAAGGAGAAACTTCAATGCTTAATGCCGAACATTCTGAATTTTAAAACCATCTGGATGAAGAATAGAAGGCTTGTATGTATATTGTGTGCTTGAATAATGTATCTAACTGGCACAGAAAGGAAGTAGCATTAACTGTGTGAAGCTACAGTTTTTACAATTCTACTGTTGGAAAACTTGCAGCCTGATAGTGTGGTTTGCTGGGCATGAAATGACCTCCAGTTACCTTTGCAAGTTTTAAAATCATGTCTTTTCATGTCTAGCCTGTGAAACATGTTAAATTGATCCTCACTTATCTATCACTTCTCCCACTATAATCTAGAAAACACAGAATGAAAGAAACTGTGTCCTTTGAAAATGCAGTTTAAGGATAAGAGATAGATGGCTGGGATGTTATTCCTTTTACATGCAGACTTTTTAGGTAGGGCTCCAGTAGTGTGATTCAGGTCAAATTGGATATGTACTCTCAATGTTTGAGATGCTAATTAAAGTTTGTTTACCTTGCCATTAATTTGACTCTGTCTATCAAAGCAACAGCAACAAGATCATTTTCTAATGTCACAAACAGCTTCCAGTTGTGTGCGTGTGTAACAGATGACCTACCTGACCTATCTTAATATTTATCTAACCTTTTTGTATTTATATAACCATAACTTTTCAGCCATATCATCCTTTGGCTTCTCTGGGTCATTCTCTTAGAATCCTATGTGTAGACGTAAGGAGTGGCAAACTTGAATAAGCATGTTACCGCCAAACATCCATCATCCAAAGCCTTGTAAATTGCCCCCTATGAAAGGTTTTGTCTTGATTCTTGCTTGTAATTAAGGTGCTGTGGAGAGCAAACTATGAATTATACCATAGACCTGCATCTTCACTTCATAGCGCTATGAGTTTTCTTAGAAATCGTTTTTTAAATGTCAAGTTTTCCTGTCTGCCACCCAATCATTTTACTTGCGGGCAAACACGCACAACTCAATTATAAAAATCTAGCTGAAAGTCATAGCTGAAAAGTCCTAGCTGAAAGGATTCTTCATGTCAGTAAGTGACTGACATTGACAGAGACTTCTAATGTTCGAAAACGCTTTTGCAACTGTTGACTTTTATAAGTACAGCTAGTGTGGACTAAATCCAGTTGGAAGCATTTCAATTGAGCTACAAGCATTTTAGCCCCACCCAGGTTGAGATTACATATGTTCAGGGCTCCAGGAAGCACCTGTTGCTGAGATGAGAACTCCCAATCATCAGAGGTGAGCGCTGCTTCTCATACAGTCAAGTTTCATATTTAATGCAAGGATTGCTATTTAGTTGTTTTATAGCAGCTTTATATGGACAGCAGCATGAGTACCTGGATTATGGACTTTTCTGTTTGAAGTCTTTCTGATGAAGTTTGAGTCATCCCGAGTTTGTGAGATTAATTTTTTAGAGGTGTTTTCTTAGTTTTTAGTTATCAGATGATACTTTTCTTCATTCTGTTTTTACTTAATAGGTGAATGCAGGTCAGTGTTTTGCATGTAAAATGCTTAGTAAACAATGAAACAGTTGCTTATCCACGTGGAGCGATGTTTGGTATGTCTCTCCATTAGACGTTTCTAGTACTGGTAGATGTTTTGTCATATGAACTTTATCAAACAAGGTTAGTTAGCAAGAGACTGATGTTTGATTATAGGTGGGGTGTTGTGGACAAAAGCTTACATAGTATTACAGCAGAGACGTTCTGCATGCCAGATCATGTTGAGATCAAATGCATGTGTTAGACACTATAGTATCAGAAAGAACCTGCATCCTACTTGAATGTTATGCATGCAAGCAATACTAATGACATCTGCAATGAAAGCATGTTTCAGATAACATTGAGAATGACTCTTAAAGTTCATACTTTTTTCTGCACTTTGCCTTTTGTCTTCCTTTTGTACACTACCCTTCAAAAGTTTTAGGTCTGTAAGATTTTTTTTTTTTTTTGCTTTTTAAGATGGATATTTTAAATCAGCAAGGATACATTATATTGATCAAAAGTGAGAGACTTTTACTTTGTTAAAAATAAATAAATATAAAAAAAATGCTGTTCTTTGTTAATTATATTCATATATTCATGAATCCCGAAAAATGGTTTCCACAAAAATATTAAGCACTGTTTTCAACATTGATAATAAGAAATGTTTCTTAAGCACTAAATCAGCATATTACAGTGATTTCTGAATCAAGATTCAGCTTTGCCATCACAGGTATAAATAACATTTTAAATATAATAAAATAGAAAACTGTAATTTTAAGTTATACTTTTTTTTTTTTACAAAATTACTGTATTTTGATTAAATAAATAAAGCATAGGTGAGCATAAGACGCTTCAAAACTTTTAAAAAATCTTACAGACCACAAACTTTTCAACTGTAGTATAACCACTAACCATTCTACAACTATTCACTACTTCTTTATGTCTCTTTCTTCGGAGCACAGCCACTGGTTCTATACACCCAGCAGGTAATTCAGTATACCGTGTCTTTCTGTGCAGTTCAGTAGATTTTTTTAATTGGTATAATTCCTTTGCACATATTGATGGTGGGAGGTATCACCAAAATTATTATAAATTGTACAGTTGAGACATTTCTAATGTCGCATGGTATAAATATATACCATCAGACCATCCATCCCTGATAGATGTTTGTAATAGGTGGCTTGCTAAGACTGTAAATAAATACATTTATATTTAATATCTTTTTAAGTTATATTTATAACATTGAGAATGACTCTTAAAGTTCATACTTTTTTCTGCACTTTGCCTTTTGTCTTCCTTTTGTACACTACCCTTCAAAAGTTTTAGGTCTGTAAGATTTTTTTTTTTTTTTGCTTTTTAAGATGGATATTTTAAATCAGCAAGGATACATTATATTGATCAAAAGTGAGAGACTTTTACTTTGTTAAAAATAAATAAATATAAAAAAAATGCTGTTCTTTGTTAATTATATTCATATATTCATGAATCCCGAAAAATGGTTTCCACAAAAATATTAAGCACTGTTTTCAACATTGATAATAAGAAATGTTTCTTAAGCACTAAATCAGCATATTACAGTGATTTCTGAATCAAGATTCAGCTTTGCCATCACAGGTATAAATAAAATTTTAAATATAATAAAATAGAAAACTGTAATTTTAAGTTATACTTTTTTTTTTTTACAAAATTACTGTATTTTGATTAAATAAATAAAGCATAGGTGAGCATAAGACGCTTCAAAACTTTTAAAAAATCTTACAGACCACAAACTTTTCAACTGTAGTATAACCACTAACCATTCTACAACTATTCACTACTTCTTTATGTCTCTTTCTTCGGAGCACAGCCACTGGTTCTATACACCCAGCAGGTAATTCAGTATACCGTGTCTTTCTGTGCAGTTCAGTAGATTTTTTAAATTGGTATAATTCCTTTGCACATATTGATGGTGGGAGGTATCACCAAAATTATTATAAATTGTACAGTTGACACATTTCTAATGTCGCATGGTATAAATATATACCATCAGACCATCCATCCCTGATAGATGTTTGTAATAGGTGGCTTGCTAAGACTGTAAAGAAATACATTTATATTTAATATCTTTTTAAGTTATACTTATATTTAATATCTATTTAAGTTACTTTCATAGGTTTTTGATAAATCTTCATTGGTTGCGTGCATTGGTGGATTGAGAATTTTACTTCAAAGCATTTCTCCTTTGTTTTCTTAGGTTAAATGAGAAGGGATACAGTGAACTCGTATGCAAGGAGAAGCCAGAAGCACCTCCTTTGGCTTTGACTGAAGACCTGGAGAAAAAGGCTTTAGATCCTCCATCCAGTCATCATAAAACTGTACAGCATTTCTCTGACCATAGCAATCGCAGTGAACCTTCAGCCCTCTCCAAAAACAAGAGCTCTGTTCTCGTGCCCCATCTGGAGAAGTACAAATGCCCTGAGGGCACACCTCCTCCTCTTAGCAAATTTCAGGAGGTCCAGCCTGGATCACGAGGAGGAGTCTTGGCCTCACTTTCTCCTGTCAACAATCAAAGCTCCGCCCCTCTTTCAGTCCCTGTTCCCTGGAAGGGTTCCGAGCAGCACAGCAAAGGGCCAACCAGGGAGGAGGAGCTAAAACAAGAACTTGTGCCTCCTCCCTTTCCACCTCCTCCCCCTCCAGCTGTCCTGCCCACCCAAGCACCTCCTTTGGCTTTGACTGAAGACCTGGAGAAAAAGGCTTTAGATCCTCCATCCAGTCATCATAAAACTGCACTGCATTTCTCTGACCATAGCACTCGCAGTGAACCTTCAGCCCTCTCCAAAAACAAGAGCTCTGTTCTCGTGCCCCATCTGGAGAAGTACAAATGCCCTGAGGGCACACCTCCTCCTCTTAGCAAATTTCAGGAAGTCCAGCCTGGATCACAAGGAGGAGTCTTGGCCTCACTTTCTCCTATCAACAATCAAATCTCCGCCCCTCTTTCAGTCTCTGTTCCCTGGAAGGGTTCAGAGCACAGCAAAGGGCCAACCAGGGAGGAGGAGCTAAAACAAGAACTTGTGCCTCCTCCCTTTCCACCTCCTCCCCCTCCAGCTGTCCTGCCCACCCAACAAACCGCTGGCCCGACCCAGCCCACCATGGAGGGGCAGCGTTCGCCCTCGCCCCAGTTTGCTCCCCAGAGGCTGACTGACAAGCCCCCTGTCTCCGTCTCCATACAGGATGAAGCTCCTGGAAGGTAAGACTTTGTGTGTTTAGAGTTAAATTCCGCCGTTCAGGAATTCTTTCAGGTCTGTGCTGGAATTCAGGGAGATTTTCACTGCAAACCACAGCTGGGCTCCTCTCAGCTGCAATCTTAAAACCATCACTGGAAACTCTCCCTACAGCCCAGTAATTTAATGACAGTGCTTCTCTGACTGTCTCTTTATTGTATTCATGCACATACAAGGAGCTTATTCATATGTGTCCTTACTGCAGATTGCCCATGTGTGCTGCAGTTCTTCAGATTAGTCATAAGAGGGATTCCCCCCAGCCTTGACTAAAGACTGTTGAAGAATATCATTTCTGGTGCTTTGTTTTTGCTGGAATAGGGCAACTTTTTAGTAGTCTTACAGCCTGGAGAAGACCAAGGTTTTGAACTGGACATTTGGGTTATAGTGACATTGTTGTATGATTCTTAACTATATGCATGGATTTGGTCACAGGAACTGACATTTCTTGTTTTCCTGTATGCAGAGCCTGCTAGCCTGAAGTAAAAGATCACATTTCATGTTTTTCTACACAGATTATACCCATGAAAATTGTTATTCCTGTCCTTGTTTACCTAGTTTTTCTTATGTTGCATTTCTTTCATTCACCATAACACGTTTCTGTTTTCATCATTGTTGTTTACCAGGATGGATAGGGTTAAAGATGAGAACACGTCAGTGAAGAAAGTTCCCATTAAGATTGTCCACTCCGAGAGTGACACCGAAAAGGAAAGTCGACAATATCTCGACCTGCCCATCGAGACCCCTGTCAGCTCTCAAGGACCTGGAGTAACTCATCTTCAGAGTTTGGGAAACCCGGATCAGTCATACTCTCTGTTCTGTACTTACGCCAGGCAAAAGGACCAGGGGCCTGATCCGAGAGAAGCAGATATTGGCCCTCTGAAAGACCAGGGTCCACAAACCAGTGTGAACCCAGTATCTTATGCGTTACATGGCCTGCAGACGGCCCCTTCGTCTGATCAGAGCAGCAACGGAGTGTCTTCACATCCCTCACGGTCAGAAGATGACGAAAAAAGAAAGGAGCTTGCTAAAGACATAATGGACAAGGACAAGTCCCTAGTGGACATTTTAGACCAGAGTAAGATGAAGACCACCATGGATCTGATGGAGGGGATTTTCCCTCAAGGAGAGCAGCTACTGGAAGAGGCCCAACAGCGCAGGAAAGCTGCACCTAAACAGCTCTCTCCTCGCAACTCTGTGGAGAAGTCAGTATTTCTGTATTCCTATTTCCTCAGTTTGAAAAACAATTTATTTATTTATTCTAGGAATTTGCCCTTAAAGGGATAGTTCACACAAAAATGAAAATTCTGTCATTAATTACTCACCCTTATGTTGTTCCAAACCCGTAAGGCTTCCGTTCATCTTCGGAACACAAATTAAGATATTTTTAATGAAATCTGACAGCTCTCTGTCTTCACGATTAAGGTCCAGAAACTTAGTAAGGACATCGTTAAAATAATCCATGTGACATAAGTGGTTCAACCGTAATTTTACGAAGCTACGAGAATACTTTTTGTACGCAAAGAAAACAAAAATAACGACAACAATTCGTCTCCTCCGCGTCACCCTGGCGCCATTTTGGAGAGTCTCACATGTATGTACGCGGATACGTTGTTTACGTTCAGATCAAAACGTAAACAACATATCCGCGTGGTGCAGCTGACACAGAACAACATACGTTGTTTAAGTATGATACTCTCAAAAATGGCGCCAGGGTGACGCGCACAAAAAGTATTCTCATAAAATTATGGTTGAACCACTGATGTCACATGGATTATTTTAACAATGTCCTTACCATGTTTCTGGACCTTGATCATGGTAGGATCCTTGCTGTCTATGAAGGGTCAGAGAGCTCTCAGAATTCATCAAAAATATCTTAAATTGTGTTCCGAAGATGAAGGTCTTACGGGTTTGGAACGACATGGGGGTAATTAAGTAATTAATGACAGAATTTTCATTTTTGGGTGAACTATCCCTTTAATTACAAACCTATACAGAAGGAAGACAGATTGAACTTGTATGTTTGATGTTCCGTTTATAATTTTTTTTAAGCAGTAGGTCAGGGTTGCTGTTGAGCCCTACCCATGTGGTTTTAATAAAAATAAAAAAAAACTGAGAAAGGTATTTAGTGAATATTTAAATTGTAGCCTGTCCAATCTACTTCCTCATTCAAGTTATGATTCATAAGCATGGTTTATTTTTCTTGTTGCAGATCTGGGGCACTACTAACTCATCTAGCAATCTGGCAGACTTTGTGTAAATCTGAAGTCACTGAAACTGAATAGCAAAAATTATTATTATTAAACACTCATATCTGCCATTGTTAGGGCGAACAGATAATCAAACTCGCATCACTGTTTGATTGTTTTTGTCACATGTAATTCTGTGGTATTTGGATCCATTATGATCAATTTATGTTTCTCATAAAAGTCATCTGTGGGTTTTCAGGAAAGAGGAGGACAGCCTGGTGGCAGCCACTGCTTTAGTGACTAATTCAACCTACTACAGTACATCTGCACCCAAAGCAGAGCTGTTGATTAAGATGAAGGACATGCAGGAACAGAGTGTGGAACACAACTCAGAGGAGGAGCTGGACGAGGACAATGAAAGTGATCTTGCCAGCAAGAAGGTACTAACATGCTGTAGCAACACATCTGTGATACAATCAGATACTTCTTACTAGTCCATTGTATCAAGTGACTTTGTCCTTGTTTTTCTTTCTCATCGCAGCATGAGTTGATTGACAGTCTCAGCAAGAAGTTGCAGGTGTTGAGGGAAGCTCAGGAGAGTCTACAGGAGGACGTGCAAGACAACAACGCTCTTGGGGAGGATGTGGAGGCCATCGTACAGGGTGTCTGCAAGCCTAATGAACTCGAAAAGTTCCGTATGTTCGTAGGTGATCTTGATAAAGTGGTTAACCTTCTGCTGTCTCTGTCTGGACGCTTGGCCCGAGTAGAGAATGCTCTGAACAGCCTGGAGGAAGACGCTTCACTGGAGGAGAGGGTGAGAATGAAAATGAGGGATGTGGGAAAGCAGGATTGATGTTGTGGAGGAATGACGTCCAGAATTAACAGTTTCAAAAAGCATAAGAAAATAGGCTGAAAAAGAACACAGAATATTATAAAGGCTGGAAAACGGCATTAACATAAAAGTAGCATGTTATGCCAGAGATATGGCCTACTGCTGACACAGACTGAACCGCATTGAGTCCAGCTCACATCACTCCAGATCCAGATCCTTTACTGTTTCCTTACAATCTTAATCCGTAGAGCCTTAAATTGGTACTATGGAAAATGGTAATAACTGTGTACCATGGTATAACTTACATTACTATTCTAGTACCATAGCTTTTATATAGATTTAAATGGGCTACCAGATAATTAAAATGCACTTATTTGTATATAGATTCATGTTTTGTGTCCTATACACACACACACAAACATTCATGGCCAAAAACTTTTACAAGGTGCTTTGCATTTAAAGATAAAAGAATGATTTTGATTGAATTATTCTTTTATTGAAAATCTTCATCATCTTTCTGCAGCGTACACTGACAGAGAAACGCAAACTGCTGATCCGTCAACATGAGGATGCCAAGGAGCTGAAGGAGAACCTTGACAGGAGAGAACGGGTCGTCTACGACATCCTGGCGAGCTACCTGTCAGAGGAGAATATGGCTGACTATGAGCACTTTGTGAAGATGAAGTCTGCCCTTATTATTGAGCAGCGCAAGCTCGAGGACAAGATCAAACTGGGGGAGGAGCAGCTCAATTGTCTGATGGACAGTCTCCCAATGGACCAGAGGACAACCATCTGAGGACTTAAAAAACAGCTTATGCAGTGATCCAGAGCAACGCGCTTGACGTCACCCTAAATAACAGGGTTCCAAAGCAGTACTTAATGTGGTCCATTTACTGCCAATGGAATTGCATTCTGGTCATATATTGAGTGCTTCTTGTCTGCCCCAGCAGACATCATTTTGGCAAGACTCATAAAGACTGTGAAAGTGCTGGGCACTTTTAGATCATGATTTGACCAAATCACCTGTCAGCTGATCTTATACTTTCATGACGTTCCAATGTTACACGACCCATAGAATTATATGGTGAAATAATAATAATTTTTAAAGACACTTTTAATTTTTTCCCCCACATCGGTTTAAATAGATCATGCCCTTTTTGCACCAATGTGCTCTCAAAACTTGACACTCTGTATGTACATGCCGTGGTCACTCACTGTGCTGTATCTTTTTCACCACTAGAGGGCAATGAAAGACACCTCAAAATGTCTTATGCCTGAACGCCAATACAAACTCTTGTGATTCAAACATACACTCAAATCCCGGTGGCATAAAGCTTTGCACATGTAAGCTGTTTCTATTTACACCAGGAGGTTGTAATTAACTTCCGAAAATGACTTTTTGATGGTGCATAATTTCAAAGGACTTGTGTCTCTATCCTGGTCATGTTTAAAATAATTCAATGATATTTTTAGTAATTTATTTTAGCCTTTTGAATCTTTGTATATAACTAGAATAGGCTAGAATTGAACTCTTTCACTTCATTTTAGCCAAGCAAACTACCACTTTAGTCTACACGCTTTTTATAGATGAATGTATGATATATCACCAAACAATGCATCAAAATTAGGACTGACTGTAAGTATTCTGAAAGACTTGCCTAAACGATACAATATTATTTCACTAAGGATTCAGTGCTTGTCTATAAAATACCAGCTGTCTTTTACTCCACGTCATGTGTTTGTGTCATTTATATTTTCATCTGTAAGATATTTGTGACCCTGGACCACAAAACCAATCATAAGGGTAAATTTTTGAAATCATCATGATCTGAATAAATAAGCTTTCCACTGATGTATGGTTTGTTAGGACAGGACTATATTTGGTGGAGATACAACTTTTTGAAAATCTGGAATCTGAGGGTGCAAAAAGAAAAACCGAAACAACAGATGCTTCCACATGTAATCTAACATGATCATCAAACATAAAACAGTATTAAAACTGTGTAACATTACGGAATCAAATGTCGACCAATGAAGAGGTAATAATAACTGTCAAGCTTTGGGGTGTTGAT